TGGTGTTATCTAATGGATAAAGCCGTTGAACAGTACTGTCTCACTTGATGCTCGTTGTGCTCCATAGCATCTGAATTGCATGGCCCCCGTCTCGGTAGGCGGCCTGGTCAGACAGATGTTAATTTTGAGGTTGTATTTTACGTGCTCCTTCTCCACGTCATTGGTTGTCCACCGCGGCACTTTTCCCAATCGCTTCCGGGAAGCGCAATCAACACTCGGCTAGGAAGACGATAGGCTGGCATCCGAAATACGTGGCCGAGCCAACGCATGCGATACAGGATAGTAACCGTTTGGAGGCATGGGCTGTTTGCTCCAAAAACTCGCTCCCTGACTTCTGTGTTACTCACGTACTACTGCCGCCACACACGAGCAATCCAACTCAGACGACGATTGTCAAAACCTGACAGGCGCTTCATGTCTTCCGAGCGAGTTCGCCAATCCTCACAACCGTACAAGAGTACCGAACGGACAGACTCAATGTGTACCCTGCTCTTGAGTTTGGGACTGACGTCGCGACAGGGCCATAAGTGCCTCAGTCTAATGAATGCAAGGCGGGCGTTTGCGATCAATTGTGAGACAGGTGCCGGTGTTGGGATGAGCAACACTATAATGTTTCCATTTTACTTACGGTCTTTTTGATCGGAATGACCGAGGTCCACCTCAAGTGAACCGAGGTATCAATAGAGGTTGCTTGTAGCAACCCAACCGCCAGCGGATACTCCAAGTCCAACTTTGAATTGTGAGACCTCATCTCCAAATCAGCTGCCAGCTGTGTGGAAACTCTCTATATAAGTGAAGCAGTGAACTTGTTCTAGGATGTCACCAGCAATGATGAGGGCAGGCACGGGTGTCTGCCAATCTTGGAGTAATGTTTTACATTTGCCTGGCGGGGAAACACAAGCCATACTTAGATACCTTCATTGTTAGGCAGTTGAGAGCACTCGTGACGGCTTGTTGATCGTCCCTAAAAAGCGATATCATTAGCGTAGTCTGAGTGCGCGACTCCGTCACTTGGGAGAAGCTCAATACCGCAACTTTGAAGGCTTTCCAATGGTCGTTGGACGACCACTTCAATGGTAAAATTAAAGAGTAAAAGTGAGATGGAGCAACCGTGGCTCAGCAAACGAAGTGAAAACAGTGTCGGAAGCCCAGAATTTGCCCGACGTGTGACTGTAGAGGTCCTTCTGGATGGTCACAAACTAACCGGGCACACCTTTCCTTAGTAGACGGTTCCACAATGCAGATCTATCTACTGAGTCAAAGGCCGCTCGGATGTCCCAGAACACTACGATTGTTGGCCGTCGGTGGATGCGACGGAGTTCAAGGATTTGGCGCAATGTGAGGACGTGATCATTACAACCTCGACCTGGATTGAAACCAGCTTGTTGCTCTTGGGAAACGCCTTCTCTTGTCGCTGAGAGCCTTCGGAGTAGAACAGACACGAAAATCTTGGAGGCAACAGAGATCAACGAAATTCCGCGGTAATTAACGCAATCCTCGCAGGAGGCTTTCTTGTGAATCAGGGAAATGACAGATTCTAACCATGCAGTTAGGACTTTCTCGTCAGTTCAAATTCTCCTGAATGATGATAGCATTTTGTTGAGAAGTTCATTCCCGTTATTTTTGAATGGAGCTGGGGTATGCTTTCAGGACTGGGAGCTTTATGACGTTTCAAAAATTGGATTGCGCTTCGAACCTCTGTTTCGGTAGAAGGATCAGTAGCGATAGGCCAAGCACTCTGCGAGGGATACGGTAATGTCACAGTGGGCTGTGCTGAGCAGTTAAATTGGGAAGCAACATGCTCTGCACAGCGACCCAAGTACCGGTGCAGGTTGGATTCGTCCTTGAAACATTTGTAAACCTCAACGAATTAGGTGTTCTAATTGCCCTCCGTCGTTTTAGTTGCATCGCAGTATTGGCCGTATGTTGTTGGCGGGCGCATTCTGCAACGTCTCCAACGAACTCCGGCTACATTTTTTCGCAATATTGTCTTTCAGTTCATCCAGGCTGTTTGGTTTTGTTCTATAAAATCTATGCTTCTATTATCCCCATAGGAAAATATTCATGGGATCCAGATCCGGTTACTGCGCAGGTCACTCTATCGGTCCTCCGCGACCGCTCCAACGTCCACCGAAAGTCTCGTTCAGGTAAGCACGAACCGATTGCTTTGAGCACGCAGGTACGCCGTCCTGCTGCCACCGAATGTTATTTGGTAACCCTACGGATTGTATGTCAGCTACAGTAAACAGTTCACACTGCATGTGAGATTTGACAACTTTCCGGTGATGCAGACTAACTTTTTCCCAATGACCCACTGTAAATATAGACTATC